TATCTAGGGGCTACAAGACCATCAGTTATTGTCAGGACAGGTACACCTGTTAAAATGGCTGTTTTGACAAATACAAGGTCCCAGAATACCTCCCTAAATTAAAAACACAAATGAATGCAGCTCTGTATGAATTAATGCTTCATTGAATTTAGGGATGCACCGATACCGGAATGGGTGCCAATAATGAGCATTTTCACAAGTACTCGTGAAAATGCCCCGATAATAACCACTGGTAGCGGCACTTTTAGTGGCATTCCCATTAGGGAAGCAACTAACGATAATTTTCATAATCGACTGGCTGGCCGAATTATTTTTTTTGATTAACCGGTTAAAAGAAAAAAAATAACATCTTTTATTTCAATTAAAATACACAAATGCAGTGTGACATTAGGTGGTCTTTTATACCCCTAGTGGCACTTTCCACTTCACTGGGTCATGTCAGCTGCCTGCTGAGGCAACTGAATGTAAATACAGCATGCAGCGGCTGGGAGCAATAGCCAGCTTCCTATTGATTATTTTAAATTACTTAAGTTCTCCTTCAGTTCCACAGCAGGCAGTGGGTGGGTGCTATTGCAATTTAAATTATCCAATAGCAGGCTGACTGTTGTTTTCAGCCGCTGGTTGGAGAATCGATGACGGTGTTCTATCAGTCCCTCCGAGGGATTGATAGAACACCAGCAGACGAGAGGGCATGAGGTAGCAGAAAAGGAAACGGGGCGGGTAGAGTAGGAGGCGGAAACGGCAGAAAAGGACTGCAGCAGCGGAGGACTGGGACAGGCAGAGGAGGAACAGGGCTGGCAGAGGAGGAACAGGGCTGGCAGCCTAGGAGGAGGAACGGAGCAGCAGTGGAGGTACGGAGGGACAGCGGCTGCAGTCTCTTCTCCCCGCTGGTGCCGGCTGCATTGGTCTGTGTCCCCGCTGCCTCTGCCGACACAGGCAGGGAGAGCAGCAGGGATTGAAAGGGACACAGACCGCTGCAGCCAGCGCCAGCAGGGAGAACGGAGGAGCAGATTGGCGGTGGAGTAATCAACTAATCAAAAATGAACTATCGATTATAATCGAGTTAATCAATTAATTGTTGTAGCCCTAATTCCCATACATAGATTAGAACTAGAAGTGCCTTTTTAACCACTTGAAGACCGGGGTGTTAAACCCCTTCCTGTCCAGGCCATTTTTCAGTATTCAGCACTGCAGTACTTTGACTGACATTTATTCCATCATGCGACACTGTAATGAAATGAATTTTATACCATTGTTTGGGGACACATAGAGCTTTCTTTTTGTGGTATTTAATCACCACTGGGGTTTTCATTTTTTTACTATATAAAGAAAAAAAATACAGAAAATTTAGAAAAAAATTAAGTTTTCTATACATTATGTTAATGAAAGATTACAAATAAATAATCTTTCTTCATACATTTAATCCAAAATGTATTCTGCTAATTTCTTTGGTTAAAAAAACAACAACAAATAAGTGTATACTTAGAATGTGTAAAAATGATAGTCTACAAAACTCTGGTATAAATCACACTGCTGACATCGTAAATCACACTACCACTGTGAATTGCACTGATTGCACTGTGATCTGTATATCACTTTAAATCTTACTCTTGATGATTGCTTTGAGGCTCTCAATCTCCTCTCTCACATCCAAAAGTGTGGGAGAGAGGAGATGGAGACAAGGCTGCAAACTGCAGCCATTGTTTAAACTTTTGACAGCTGTGATTTGTCACAGCAGATCACATGTTACAGAGCCAATTTAATTGGCTTTGTACCTTGTTTTGGAAACCGCACTGTTACCCGCACGGGTAGGGGGCGGGGAAGGACATTTTAAATGCCCACTCACATTCACAAAGCTCCCAGCCGGTCGTTTAATTACAACAGCTAGCCTGCAAGTGGTTAAAGAAAACCACCAGATAAAAATTGGCAATATATGTACAGGTTATAAGTATCTAGAGTTATTTATGGATTACAATTTGCAGAAGTGACTATGTTAAAGAGTCTAAATTTAGCAAATTCTCAGGAAGTATATAAGTTTGTAATTAGGACTGCTGACACTGTGAATCGCACTGCTGACATTGTAAATCCCACTAACACTGTGAATCGCACTGATTGCACTGTGATCCATGTCGTGGACTGTTTTGGACTATATATCACTTTAAATTGTACTCTTGATGGTAGGGGTGAGGAGAAAAAAAATCCTCTGCTAGACTTGAAGTGACACTAAATTCAGGAGTTAAATCTTGAAAATGCATCAAAATACCTTAACAATTACCAGAAATGTATCTTATTTGTGTATCACTCGGCTGTAGACCCTCAAATCATCTCTGAATTGGTGCTGACACTGTCCTTCCTTCTGGAGGGTGGCTACTTTTGTTCCTCATGGTCCCTGTGTGTGTTGAAATGTAGTCACCGCTCCTCCCGAGATGGACTACAATCTCATGTTTAGTTTACTAATTTGTATTGAGTTTGTAGTCCAACACAGGAGTGAGCTTGGAGCGGTGACTACTTTACAACATACACACGGCCATGGAGAACAAAAGTAGCCACCCTCCAGAAGGAGGAACAGTGTCAGCACCAATTCAGAGATGATTTGAGGATCTACACCCGAGTGATACACACAAACTACTTTTTTGTTAATAGTTGAGGTACTTGAATGTATTTAACTCCTGGTCCAAGGTTTAACTCCTGAGTTTAGCGACACTTTAACTGCATTGTATGCAACAACTACGGTAGTTTGTGTCCACAACACATAAGAGCAGGATAGCTCATGTTTACATAACAAAAGGCGGGAGAACACAGGACAGGCACATGATCACTGTGATAGCAAATCACAGATCAGGAAGCCCAGGAAACACCTCTGACATTTAGGTACTTTCAAGGGCTGGGGAGAGCAATCAGGAAGGGGTACAGACAAAAATATTTTATATCCTTCTACTGGACAAACACTGAAATTTATTTTTTCTTTTAAAAGCCAACATAAACCAAGCATATTCCATAGCAAAAATGAATATTGTGCCTTCAGCCTATTGCCCAAAGTTCTTCTAAAGGAAAGTTCTATTTTTCAATTCAAAAGAAATATAGCATATACAATGCCATTAAATTATATTTCTTTTTTAAATTGCGGATTCTTTAAAACTGCCACAATATTGCATTTTCCATTCCTTGCAATCTCAAAAACCTGCAAGCATTCCCCCCATCCTTGCTGTTACAGCTAATTGCCCACTACCCACTTCTGGGTAGTTTTGTAGGCTGCTGCAGCCATGAACAGTCATCTCTATGCCTGCACTTTATTTTCCTTCCATGAGAGCATCTCTCAGGCAATCCAACATGCCACAACAGGAAGTTATCTCCAAAGTCAGGGAAATTTCCTCCTAGACAACTGTCACCAGAACTAGCATACCTATTGGAAGATTGCCCCTCTATTCCTGTTCTGGTGATAACTCAAAATGTGGGATCTGGATGGGAAGGGGGTTTAACACCCTGGATGTCAACTGGTTAATCAATCACATTTAAACTCGGGTGAAATATAATTGCCTTCTACGTTGAACTTCTTAAGATGACTATACACCAGTAGAATTGCATTAGGCCTGGTTCACACCTGGGCGTTTTACAGCACGTTCCTATGCTCTGTAAAACGCTCAACATGTGAAAGCCAATGATTGCCTATGGACATGGTTCCCACCTGGGCATTTTACAGCACGTAGGAACGCGCTGCAAAACGCCCTACGCCCAAAGAAGTACAGGAGCTTCTTTGGGGCGTATTTGCCAGGCGTATCCATTGGGATACAGCCAGGTAGCCCTTGGACACGCGCGTTTGTCGTGGGTTTTTACCGCAAACACGCATATTCGATACGCCTAAGTGTGAACCCAGCCTAAGACCTAGAGAACAAGGTTATTTTTGGAATGTTCCTTCGATCTACCAATAATCAGTGGAGTCAAATCAACGTTCAACTTTGACTGCAGCGAAGAAAAATTTGGAGAAAGATGGACATTTTCTCTCAAATGAAAATGTTTGGCCCCTTTCGCCCGGGCAGTGTCCGTTCCCCATCAGCAGGGGACCTGTGCACGGATCAAAGCAGAATGGAACAGATGTTTTATGACATCTGTGTCCCTCCAGTTTTTTTTTTTCTTGCAATGGAGGAATAAACTGAGCTTTATGGACCCATGTTAGTGTATGTTGAGTCGAATGTAAAAATCACATGTGTTTGTTTACATCCAATCCGTCACAATCAGGTCTTCAAAAACTGACCTGAACAGAGTCAAGGGGAATTGCATGATAAGGGACACACGTCTGTTTATGTGCTCATAGACTAACACTGGGCGATCAGATCTGCCTTAAATAACTGACAGTCGGTTCCCGTGTGAAAGGGGACTAATGGTGAATGTGGGTTTCATTTGGAAAACGCCATTCATTTCAAAATTGAATGTTAAAATCAAACAAAACTTGAATTCCTTTTGTCAAGTCTCTGATGGCATTTTCAAATGTTCTGACCAGATTTGTTTGCATGAATGTTCATATAAAACTCTACAAGCATATACCAGACTTTAGTATCCAGGTGTCCCACTGTATATGATAAATGACAAGAGCCTGCAGTGGGTGTATCTGGGAATAGCTCACTTCCATCACAATTAGGGGTTCTCAGATCACAGAATCTCAGACAGACTGGGATGACCGGCTAAGTACTGAGAACAAGGTTTAATTTATACTAGAACTACTTTTTAAAATAAAACCCAAAAGCTAAGTATCTCACACTACACCACATAAGCTCCATGCTACGCTACTTTGCAGAATTAGAAGAGAAATGAAGACAATGATAACACATACATTGCACATTAGGTGGAATACTGGGAATTGCCTCCTGCATGGAAGAGCGCCCTGTATACTGGCACCTGCATCGCCTCTACACAGCTCTGCCAGTGACAGGGAGCCCATTACTTTCCTAACACACACACACACACACACACCCTATACAGGACACCGCCAGCCTCTCACTCACCCGCTCAAACCGCCGTACTATGCTGCTAAAATGGCGCGTCTTCCCCGCCGGGCCCGCCTCCTTCTCCCGTATTCTTCTCCCAATCACGGAGCCTACATACGGGGTCGTCTACATCAACTATCAGGGGCCTTCCAATGAGCTAGGCCGAGAGACGGGGGAGCGGGAATGAGGGGGGTGTCCGGTACTAACCAAGCGCCTCACGGGAGAGAGACCGAACCGAGGGCAGCATGGTAGAAGAGCGAGAAATGGCTGCAGCCCTGGAATAGAGCTTCCTATCCCATAGAGGACAGGAGAGGTCCCGAGGGACGGAGGAAGTCGAGTCTGAGGGGATGCGGCTTCCAGGGACTGAGGATGAAGAACCTTATCTCGTCAGGGCACATAATGTAGTCTGTGGATAACTATAGTCTGTATTCACACGTGAGAAGAGTCTGTTTCTCCAGAGTCTGAAGATTTTAATTTTTTTAAGGACATAAATTCACAATTTTTTTAAAAGCTTTTTCCACTGGCAACAAGCTTCAGGCTTTTTTAGTTTGGTCAATTAAAAGTAGTTCTAGAGCAGCATTTCTCAACCTTTTCTTACAGTGATAAACCTTTAAAATACATTCAAGTACCTCAAAGTGACATTAAAGGCAAAAAAAATGTTTTTCCCTCACCCCAACGTTAATGAAAGCACTTACCTTAAAGAAGAACTATGGGGTCAGGGCTTTTCCCCATAGTTCTCCTTAGGGTAATGGGAGGACACAAACTAGCATTCTCCCATCACTCTAGGCTCAGTATACCGCGAGCTACAGCTCGCGGTATATTGAGACGCCGTAGCGGATCCCGACATCGAGATCCGCCCAGCTGCGTGAGTGACAGCTGGCACTGCCTATCTAGAGGCAGAGCCAGCTGTACCCTCCCCCATCCGTTCCACCAGTCAGCGCTGGCGTTTCGGAGAGGGGAATCCAGCCCCTCCCCTGTCACGGCAGAGAGCCGTGACAGGATCGAGAGGTGAGCTTTTCTTCTTTGCTGTAGTTTTCAGCCTTCTCTCCAGCGCTGACTCCTCTGAGCTTGCTGGCACGTACTCTCCCACGTTGTTTGCATGCGGGTGCACGCGCCCATAGACTTACCTTGTGTCTTTCCTCGCGTCCCGGCCGAAAATGTGAACTGTGCATGCGCCCGCCCCAAGATGCTTTGCGGCTGCTCTTGCAATTTCACATTTTGGGACGGGAGCGTGCAGGGAACACACAGGTAAGTTTAAACTGCTGTTAAAGCGTTTTTTTTTTAAATTTAAACTTTTTGCATATATCTACTGCTTGCTAGCAGTAGATATATGCAAAAAAAAAAGCTGAGGGTTTAGAACCCCTTTAACTATTAACAAAAATTTAGTTTGTGCATCACTCAGCTGTAGATCCTCAAATGATCTCTGAATTGGTGCCGACACTGTCCTTCCTTCTGGAGGGTGGCTACTTTTGTTCCCCATGGTCCTTGTGTTGTAAAAGTAGCCATCACTCCCGTGATGGACTACAATCTCAATGCAAGTTAATAAACTAAACATGAGATTGTAGCCCATCATGGGAGGAAGCTTGGAGCGGTGGCTACTTTTAAACACACAGGGACTATGAGGAACAAAAGTAGACACCCTCCAGAAGGAAGGACAGTGTCAGCATGGATTCAGAGATGATTTGGGGATCTGCAGCTGATACACAAATTAAAATATAGTTTTGTTAATAGTTAAGGTATTTGAATGCATTTCTAAGATTTAACTCCTGAGTTATGTGTCACTTTCATGGTACCCTTTAAAGAAGAGCTCCAGCTTGTAGGAAAATTAACTCTTGCAGTGGATCAAATCGACCTGTATTTGATGTGATGACATCACGGGCCCTTAGACCAGTGGGGGAGAAGAAGCTGCGGGGAACGGTCTATGAGCCAGACGGGACCAAGTATTTCTTCTTAATTATCACCCCTAGAGAAACACAAGCAGTTATTTCTTGCATTGCAGCGGTAGCCCCACTGCAAATGATAATACATTTTCTACAACCTGGAGTTCTTTAAAAATGTGCAAAACCTCGAGACACTGCTAATATTTAATGGATTTTAAGGAGGGAGCCCATGCAATAACACAAAAATGGGATTCCCCTTTACATTGAAGTCCCTATTCAAATTAGGAGCTCTTTTTACATCAGAGTCCCCTACTTTCACATCAGAATCCTTTTTACATCAGTAGCCCCTCTTTTCAGGTCAGAGCCCCCTCCTTTCACATCAGAGCCAACTTATACGAGAGTCCCCTTCTTTCACATCAGATTCCCCCTTTTATATCAGAGTCCCCCCTTCACATCAGAGTCCTACCAACTGTACAAAATTTCAAGGCACCCCAGTTGAGAAAGGCTGTTCTAGAGTAGAAGAGCAGTTCTGTAGCTGTATAAACACTTGTCTTGCACATTTGCAGGCATCTTCTACTAGATTGTAAGCTCTCACAAGCAGGGCCCCACTAACCCTATTGTACTAAAATTGTATTGTTACGGTACAGTCTCCTCCATTTCGTAAAGCGATGCGCAAATTGTTGGCACTACATAAATCCTGTATAATAATAATTTCCATTGAAGTCCATGGGGGCCGAAAATGTGCAACACATCTCCCCCCAAAAAAAGCCTCCTGTATCTTTTTGAACTGAGTATATAGATGCAAACAGCCACAATGGAAATATAATATTGGTTGTTATCACCAGTAGGGAATTGCACAATAACAAATCGCAACAAAATTATGGCTTTATACCATCGCATCACTGCCAGGAGACAGGTCAATAGTATCCTCTCAGACCCCAGTGTGATAGGTAATTGCATGCGCCAGGGTTGGCCACTTTCCCCTTATCTATATTTTAGACATGGGACATTTGGCAGAAGCTATCGGCAAGAATCCCCATATCCGAGGCATCCAAATTAAAGATGTGCATCACAAACTCAGTTTATTCGTGGATAATATGCTTCTTTACGTTTCTAACCCTGGGACCACATTTCCTCACCTTGGGGTTCTCCACAACTTTAAAGTGAATTAACCCAAGACAGATGTGCTGAATATTACTTCCGCATTCAGCAAACAGCTTCTCCAACTGTTTTGCATTCTCTTGGAAGGATGGGACATTTTGCTACTCGGGTCCAGATCCCTTTCGACCTCACACACCTATACGCACTGAATCACCAATAGTTGCAGTAAAAAACACTCCAGGACTTTAAAGGTTAGGCCCGTCTTCCATTCATGGTTTAGCGACCTCTTATGAAATGACGATCTTGACCCAGTTTCTCTATTTGTTCCCCATCTTAGGACAGCACTACTCCAATTTCTCTGGGCACAGAAACAACCTACAATACGATATTCTGGTGCGTCGTAAAATCTTGGGCAGTTTAGGTTTCCCCCATTTAGAAATATCTTATAAAACATTGTTGTTGACCCATCTCCTGGCTTGTTGATTTAGTGAAACCCATAAGCTTTGGGTGTCTATAGAAAGGGATCACTCTCCTGTCCTTCCCTACTCCCTTCTCTGAATACGGCATGACCTTGAGCCTTTTTTCTTACTGTACCTCTGCATGTGCAGGGCAAGCTCAGGATTAGTAAGCAAACCTTGGAATGGAAGCGTTCTGCCTCCAGCATGTAAAAAATAATAGGCTTACCTACCAGTGATATCAAAATTGGCCAAAAGATGGTGCTGAAAATAAATAATCTGTGTTAATAGCTGCTTGAACTGTTTTCCTTTAATTAAAAAAATTCCGAACATCCTCCAGCCCAAAGAGAAGGAAACAAGTGCATCTTGAGGCGTTTTAGGTTCTATAAAAAAAAAAAATCACTGCCATCTACAGAAAGTGTCTGGAGGAAAGCATGCAAATCTCCCTTAGGCTGCATTGCTGCTATGAATGTACTGGTTTCTTTCTGTATTTGTCTGCTTACACTATATTTACATGTTTTATATACTGATTGTATGTTTCTTTTACCAATTTAACCCACCCTGTTTCTTTAATAAAAGCATCAAAATGTCACCCAGTCTGGCTTATTGCAGAATAGGAGGGTTTAGCAAGTCAAGCTATGCACAGGGCAATGTAAAGCAGGGACCCAGCAAGTAGGATACAGGACAGTGACTACACAGAGGCCTGCCACACGTCAGCACAGTTCACCTGCATACAATACAGCAGGCTCTACATAGTCAAGCACCCACAAAAGCAATGCATGACAGAAATCTTCACTTAAAACAAGGTCCCCAAGGTTCCTTCAGATCTTCATCTGCAAGTAATGCACTCGACATGGCAAATGCAGGAGCCGTGAAAGCCAGAGCAGCCTTTGCTGAGCATGAGATGAAGATAACAAAAGAAAAAGAGCGGTTAGAGGCTGAGAAGGTGCAGCAAAAAGCACAGTTGGAGGTTGAGAAAATACATGAATAGGCATGGTTGGAAGTTGCGAAAGCACAGTTGAAGACTGGGAAGGGACAGTATGAGGCATCTATAGAACAAGAACAGCAGAGAGCCATTCTAGAAGCAGACCTAGAGAGACTTGCTATAGTGATGGAAGTAGCTGCCGCTGTAGCAGAAGAGGCCTTAGAATTAGCCATATAACCCGATAGTGACCGCAGCAGATGCAGTAATGTACTTGGACCCAAAAGCTGAACCCCCAAATACTCTACAACGCACTACAGATTGAGTCTATCAACACTCAAGCCAAGTAGCAAAGACGTGACAAACCAAACATGTTACACGGCACCACCGCAAGTCAGCGAAAAGCTTCAAGTCTGCACTCAAGAAAAGTACCAGCAAAGTGACATCTCTTATGACAAACTCCTTACGGACAAGGTACCAGAGTCTACCCTCCAGAACCAGCCTTCACACCAGAATGGTACAATAGAGGCCAACTTCAACCAGAGACTTTTAAAAGATATGATTACACACAATCTTTCCACTATAGTAATAAAGAGCTGACTAATCAAGCCATAACAGGCTTTGCTAAGTTTTTTGCACGATGTGAGTTAGTCACTAAAGGACGTAAAAGCTTTAATGATTGCCCTGAAAGATAAAGAGCCCCAAAAATGGGGCAAATACATGGGGTCCCCCTAACAGTCCTACCAGACCCTTGATCCGAGCACTGTCCCAGCAGGAAAGGAAAGGGACACGATCGAGCAATCGAATTCTGCAACACAACAAAGTTTTAGGACATGGGCTTCCACAAAAGTATACATAATCCTTATTTACAGATTGGGCTTAGTTTGTTTCTGCATTTATGGACAGGGTCACTTTAATTCAGGGCTGGGGCCAGGTAGCCAATACTCCTCACAAATTTACAGCTGGCTCCTAACTTTTGAGGTTGCTGTCAATGTAGCTGGCTGCTAAAAAAAAAAAAAAAAAATGATGAGCCCCTGAATTCCATATTAAATGTGTACACCCCTACGCTTAATCAATGGACACTGTTGAAAAGCCAATAGGAAGCAAGAAACCTTGTCAGCTTGGCAAGGAATTCTTGCAGCATGGCGAGGTAGACACTGCACACCATTTTCTTGGTAAATGGAAAACCTGGACTTCGAGGTGTAGCATGGGGAGGGGCAGGCTGCCTGATTGACAGCTGATTCTACCTTTCTAGAGCCAGAACCAGCTGTGCCCATCCAAAGTATTGGAAAGAATGAATTCTCTCCCCCAATGGGTCTTCTTTAAATGCCCTTTTTTTTCACGCCAACTTTGCTTTGGATGTGCCATAAGGTGCAAAAATATTCCCCACATTTTGTTGAATCCAGAAATGCAAATTTCACAGTTAATCTAAGTTTTAATAATTTTTTGTTTCTCCTTAATCATGTTTTTCTTACAGGATGTTCTTAGAGCAACATTCCCTAAATGAGATACACAAGATCCTGGCAGGCAATAAACAGGGAATGTCTTCTATTAAGCATGTTGCGGACTGGAGATTCTCTAAGAAAGTCGATTGGCCAAATGGATGACTGTAAACGGTTAGAACCAGATCCATATCCCGCATCACCAAAATAAAAAAACACACCCGGCGCAGTGAATAGGGGGGTTAGCTTTTCATGTTAGTTTAAATACCATAGCACAAAAACTCTTTTCAGCAGGTGTTACAATATCAGACTTTAGTACACATTGGAAGAGAGTTTAGTTTTAGGTCATTTTCATACATTTGCAATATACCCACTGATAATTATACAGGTCTTGCATGAGACATTTGATTTTGGAAGTTGTTGATCATAACAATTGTGAATAGATTCGACTGAACTGAAGGGCAGAGGCGGCCGAAGGATCAGCCGAAGCTACGGCTGGATTCTTCGGCTCTTTAATGAATAAACCCCAAATATATATATATAGAGCTTATTTGCATATTTTAGTGTCTGGCTGTATCACCTCTACTGCACAGCAAGCACCCT